AAGTCGACCTGAAAAAAACTTTGACGAGTACAAGACAGAGATAATTTTAAGAGCGGAGAAATCATAACATACAAAAACTAATTATTTTTCAAGTTCCACGTTTTTTTCTGGCTTTTAACTCTCAATATCAAAAAGTTGCTATTTCGAAATTTTGATATTTTGTAGAGAAAAAAATTCTACAAAGAATATATCTTTTTTAAAAAATTTAAAAGCACGTTTTTTTGTATGTTTGTTTAAAATTTTGTTTTTACTGTATCTTTGTGTATTTTTACCAAAATTAAATTATTCAACCTTCTTTTAAAAGTTTCAGAAATGGAAAACATGATATCAAAAATCGTTAAATTTTGTTAAGAACGAGTCAAATTATAAGCCTTTAAAGATAAGCATATCAAGCGGCAACCTGGCAAATTTTGCAACTTTCGGGGGGTAACTTGACGGAGAATTCACTTCTCCAGGTTTTCTTTGCGGCTTTCTTCATGCTGGCTTAGACTCTACTATTCAGCAAAAAAAGGAAAAAATCCAAGAGGTCGATGTTCAAAACTATGCGATTTGGCATGGAATGACCGATATATAATTGCGTGTTTTAGAAAACCTTCCTTATCAAATTCTTTAGACACCGTATAGGAAGGATCTATGAGTTCTGCGTATAAAACTTTACAAGTGCATAAATATTTTGAGAGCAAAAAGAACGGCAAGAAAATTGAGAACTGTTAGTGTGCAAGCAGTTGAATTCAAGCATCTAAGTTTTTAGAACTGCGACTGTGAAATGCCCGCATTATTGATCACGCTACCGTTTCCTTCTCGCTTCTACCCTTTTCAAGCACACAAAAAAACGACGTTGTGAAATGATAGAGAGATAGTAGTAAATTTTTAGCACATAGTCGTTAAAAAGTTGTCAAATGTTATATAGACAAGTCTTGAGCTATTATGTATGAATTAAACAATGTTGGGAAATCTATATTCAAAAAAAAAAAAATAAAGTTAGGTTGACAGTGAAGGAAAGCATGCTTGAAGCAGGTACGCTTAGCTGCAGCACTGCTGAATTTCGTGTAAACGTGACTTCAAATTGTTCTTTTTGAGTCATAGTTGGAAATTTTTTTTTCGTTTTTGTTGTTTTATCTTGAAATAATTAGCTGTTTTTTTACAGAGAACTCAGCTACAATCGTATTGCTGCTATTGAAAGCGAAACTTTCGTTAATTTGAAAAAACTAGAAATGCTTCTTCTCAACGACAACAAAATTCAGTGTTTAGAAGAAAGGGCATTTGCAGGATTGAATAATTTGAAGATCTTGTCTTTATACAGAAACGATATTTCCATTTTACCCGAATCGGCATTTAAAGATTTGATAAGCCTCAAAAATATGTATGTAATATATGAGGATTTATAATGACTGTAGAAAATTTGCCTCTTTTTTTAGAAGTTCAGTGCTGACTAGCTTTTTTTTTTCAGAGTCATGTTGAATAACTCACTGTACTGTGACTGCAGAATGGCATGGTTCAGCAGATGGCTAAATCAAAATTATCTTGATTGGGGAATGCTTAAATGTGATTTACCAGTTAATATGCGGAATCAAGTTCTACTGTCTGCTCAAGAACATCAGTTTGTGTATGGCTTATTAAAAAACCTTGAGAACGTAGCATTTTGGTCCTTTTGCAATCAGAATATTGGCATCTGCCAGCAATCTATTGTCACCGATAAATAAGAAAAATCTAACTTTACAGTTGTAACGATAAGATCCCTCAAAGTATATTAGCAAAATGTAACCCATGCCTGGAACAGCCATGCAAAAACAGAGGAACGTGTATTTCTGGCAAGGGTCGGGCGTTTACTTGTGAATGCAAAGCCGGTTATCATGGAGAAAAATGTGAGGATGAAATTGATGCTTGTTATGGACAACCTTGTCTTAATAACGCAACCTGCACGGTACGTCATCTGAACGTTTCGATTGAGGTATTTTAATTATAAGACCCAAATTAAGCTAATTTTTCAAGATTTTTAGGGTCTACAATATGGTCGATTTCAATGTCATTGCACCAAAGGTTTTGAAGGAGAACGGTGTGAAATTAATACTGATGATTGCGTTGAACATAGGTGTCGAAATGGCGGCACTTGTGTTGATGAAGTAAATTTCTAGTTGAGTTTTTTGCAAACAATTTTTAGAGTATACTAATGTTCAAAGATTTTGTATATTAGGTGTATAACTTGCACAGATTTTAGATTAATGCCTACAGATGCAAGTGCCTGCTTGGGTTTGGTGGCGAATTTTGTGAGAGAAAACTTGAGTTTTGCACAATGGAATTAAATCCTTGTCAAAATGGTGGAAGTTGCGTGCGAGTAAACGACACATATAAGTACTTTCTTTAAAATAAAAGCAATTACTAATTTCCTTACTATCTAACTGTTTTCGTAAACTTAAAACCAATCTTTGGAAACACCGGTTAGCAAAGAAAATAAATTTATGATTTTAAAATAACGTTTGAGGTAGTACTGCAGACTTCTAGAAACTGCAAAGTATGCTAGATACAGAAAGTCCCAAAGGCTTATAATGTAGTTGCAGGTGCTATTGTCCAGCAGGGTATACGGATGAAAACTGCACCACGAATATCAACGATTGTCAAAACCATACGTGTATGAACAATGCCATTTGCATTGTGAGTTGCTTCTTTAAATGTCGGAGCTCTTGTCGATTGACGGCTCCATATATATATTTGAGAAAAGACCTCAAAAGAACCAGCCGAGAAGACATGTCGACCGTGTCAACCTCGGTTGAAGGCTAGTAAGTCCCCTTATAAAGCCGAAAATGCGCACTCTCCAGTTACAGATTTACAAACCATTGTGAGACATTATAAACGGGTTGACCTTTTGTAACAATAGGTTATTAAGTAACGTAGAACAGCAGTATGAGGCAAAAAAGGTGATAACGTCACTCCAGCATTGCAAAAAATGTTTAATTACCTAAGTTAGAGGTAAGCTTTGCAGCAGTGACAATAGTGAGACATTGTGAACAGGTTTGACCTTTTGTAGCAGCATCAATAACGAGTGGCTGCTGGGGAGCGTAAAACAGTTTGTGGAACGATGACTGAATTGAGTGGTGTGAGGTGCAGTGGTAGGTGATACAGCACCTCGGGTAGAAGCTGATGGTTCGTTCCCGTTACATTCGTTTCCTGATTTGAACTGATGTTACATTTATACTCATATTCCGCTTCTCTCTCAGGTCGGAATACCTGGAAGAAAAGCTGCGTTAGCGCTCCTCATGCGAGGAAGTTTCCAAAAATTTGGCTGTCATAAGGCAGACCGATTAGGAGCCGTCAGATAAGCAAGCACTTTCAAACGGAACCTGTGGGCGGTAGATAGTGTTCCGCCACTTGGGTCCAGAGGTGGTACAGCGCATTGTCTCCATACATTTTTTTCATACGAATTCAGTAATGCCGTGTCTCTTCCATACCGTGATTTCTGGCCTTTCTTGAATTTCTGCCATAGAGACTTAATGCTGTTTGTGTAAGCATCGGTCTAAGGATCAGTAAAGTGGAGGCTGTGGTTAACAGTCTCATGCTGGTATCTCTTTGGCATGTCCTTGATGATACTGTATGCAGCCCATTATCAGACATTTTAGCTGTTTCTGGAACAACATACTGCCTCATCAGTAGTAGAAAGGTACTGGAACGACAAAGCATTTATTAGTCCCTTGCTCAATGCCTTCAAAACGGCACCGCTTCTCTATGACTCAACCTCTGTTGTACTTTCTCCTGGTAAGGAGTGTCTTGTGAATCTCCACTATCTTACCAAAAGTCTCGATCTTTAAAAGATTCTTTAGAAAATGTTATGTGCAAACATTTTTAAAATAATTCATGTAATCAACCAAAACTGAAAGAAATGCAGCAGCATCGCCACATTGTAACGTTTGCAGATTTAAAACCAGAGGCTCTAGCGGAAAAAAGGGAGCTTTACCATTCTATCACACTACCACACCCATGCGAGCGTTCTAAGATATACATAAACGTGTAAATAAGCGTTTAGAGACGTTGCGACGGCGCTGCTGCCGTCTCCTTCTCATTGCCGCTCTCCCCTTTTTTTGCTGCTGTTCCCTTTTCTTTGTGACTGTCCTCTTCCCTTCGTTGCTCTCCCCTTAACTGTCCCCTTCCTCAATTTCCCCTCCAAAAACCAGCTGGCCAGTCAGCGCGCTAGGGCCATCAATCGACAAGAGTGCCAAGATGTTGTTCCAAAAACGTATCATTCTTTATTTTGACTGACTGATTACGTTGCTTAGCTAGGACGCTGAAGCCCCATTTAAAGTATTAAAAAAATTAGCTAAAGATTGACTTTTTTACAGCAAGAAAAATGAGTTATCTGTGACAGTAATAATGAGGTTCCTTAAGGATGGTGTGAATTCATATATCTGTAAGTGCTCCGCTGGCTACTCTGGGAAGTTCTGCGAACTCGCGCCAATTTCGCATTATCTATACCAGAAAATATCTCCATGTCAAGCACAGATATGTAATCATGTAAGTATCTGCTTGTTTCTGACCCTACTAATAACACTTCTTATTTTTTTAAAGGTTTTTCGTGTTCTCTTTAGGGCACCTGTGTCGAACAGGGCGATGATATCACGTGCCACTGTATAGAAGGCTACAAAGGACCACGTTGCGACCAGCTTCGCGCAGCTGGATTTGTTGATCCTGACTCTTTCATTGAGTTGGAACCTTGGGACACAGTACCTGGCGGAAATCTCACGTTGACTGTGCGTACTTATGCAAAGTATGTATTCATGTAAGAAGAGAAGTGAAAATTGTTATTCTGCCGTAACCAAAATGCAGACTAAACAACGGTTATTTCAGAACTGGTGTAATTGCATATTATGGCGTTGAATCTCATTTTACGGCAGAACTGTTTGATGGACGTATTAAAACTGCATTTTTTGCTGGCAATGAACGAGCTTCACACATGTACAGCTATGGCATCGGTATCAGTAACATTTGAATAGTTTTTGACAAACCGTCTCAATAATTTTGAGTAATTTGATTTAGTTCTTTCGCTCACGAATCAATTAAGCATTTATTTTCTCTCACAGTCAATGACAATCTACCACATCGAGTTGAATTTACTATCAATGGGAACGTTTTAATTATGCGAATAGACAATTGGCTTCCCCAAAAAATTGAAAACACAGGACCAAAAAGTGTCTTTGAAGTTGAAGGAAAATTTGGTTTATACGTAGGCGGTATTCCAGCAACAGTAGCAGAGCAAGCATTAGCTAAATTTCACGTCAAAAGCAGCGAAAGTTTTAAAGGTTTGTTGAACATTCTGGTTGTCAGCACCAAGAAATAACGTCTGCTATTGCGCTATGAATTTTTAACCAGGATGCATATCTGACGTTTTCATAAATGGTGAATTTATTGACCTGGAAAAAGGGCAACAATTGACGAATATTCGCCGTGGCTGTTCACAGACAGTGGATTTATGCCATGGAGTGAAATGCCAAAGTGGAGGTGAATGTGCAGTAAATGAAAAAAAAGAAGTCGGTTACGAATGTCTCTGTAAATCGGGTTTCAAAGGCGAATTTTGCGAGCAGAGTAAACAAAATTTTCTTATTTTATTACTGCTACTTTGAAGGTTCACCGCTTTCTAATTATAGTAAAATATAAAGCAGCAGTAAAAGCTACAAAATTTGACTGACAGAGTTCTGAAAGGCATAATAGCTTAAACTTCTTTAAAATTATTTTTGCTTCTCTGGTGATTAATTGAAATTCTTTCTTATAAATTATGTTACCAAACGAGATTTTATTTTAAGATATGTTCGATGTAAAAAGTTTTGTGATTTGCTGAATATTAGTAATGCTTTTTTGATCACTTGCTGCTTTTAGAAAAAGTGTATTGTGGAAAGCAAAGATTTTTGGAATATTATCGGGAAAAAACATGTCGTTCAGTACAAAAAGTAAAGCAAGGCAGATGCACCGGTTGGTGCGGGAACGGGAGACAATGTTGTCACGCAACAAAAATCAAACCTAAGAGAATTCGGTTACGGTGCGCAAACGGAAAGACCATTGTAAGAAGAATAAACATTGTTCGGAAGTGCCGCTGTGGCTTTTCATCTAAATGTTCTCATTTATAGCTATTATTTCTCAATTGTCCTGCGGAATTTCTTTACGAATTTTCAGTGTTTGCTGTTTGTCCAGCGCTTGTATAATAGTTGTAAAGATGAGAGTATAATGTTATTCAAAAGAAACAGAGCTTATTGACGTAGTATTCTACGGTACCACTGACAATAACGTGGAGGGCGTGAGTTGGGCATACTAAGTTATGTACTTGTTATTAATTTCAACTAAACAGTGTTTTCAGAGGGATAGTACGACGACAGTTATAGTAAGTTTAGTTGCTGTTTATTTAAGATGGTCACTGCATTAAAACCAAAATACTCTGCTTGAAATTGTTGCGATAAAAGCCCGTCAGTGGGTTTAGTGGAAACTACTGCTGCGTTTTTATCGAAGTCTTGTAGCTTTTCTTTACAGATTTTGAAGACTCTTAAATGACTTTCAATGATCCTTGAAATCGAAATGGTTTTTTTTTTTTGTTTGAAGTGCTCGTTGTAGAAAACTGTTGTGAACCAGCGCAATCTTTGCATCATTTAGCCTGTACATACTTCGTGATTCCGGTTATAAAATCTTCAACAGTTTTAAAGACATTATAGATATCTCTTTTGCATGTTAATACATCATAATATTTTTTATGACAAAAGTTCTGAATTTATTCTCTTTTGACACCTGCAATCTTCATGCTTGTCTGAGTGTCACATGGTTTCAGAATGCTGTTGTAGCAGTTTTTACTGATATTTGTAACCAAAAAATGTTGAATTTGTCTCAGTATTTGTTGAAATTGCTGAGAGTTTGTTTTTCTGTTCAGTTTTGTTTATTTATTGGTAAATTTTAAAAAGTTGTAAACTTTTCTGTCTTTCGCCTGATTTCTGCTCTTGGCTGTTTGTTTTCCATTGATCATGTCCCGTTCTTAATTTGGATTATAAATGAACATTAGGATGTAGAGCTTAGTGAAAGTAACAAGAATTTCGAATGCTTTTTTTGCGGTGTTCGGTATGTTTATGTTTTTGTTGTAGGCTAAGAAGTAGAAATTTTTGCAGAAAGTAACTAAACATGTTACATTTCAGAACTGTGATAAAGAAGCGTGGTTAATCTCTGTTAATACGAAGTTTGTGAGATTTGTAGTGCAGATGTCTTTTAAATGCCATTTAGGTGATCATAATGAAAAGATGCTTCTAAATTGAGCAATAACAATAGCGTCCGCAAATAAATAAAAAATGTACCTACTTGAGAACAAGAAAAAAAAAGTAACGGTAATTTTTTGGAGCTGTTTTAGTTTGGTGGCTTCACCCCCGTGGGAGATGCCTACAATGATGCTCCTCCCACTGGGGTGGGTACGGTACCACCACGCTATACAGGATGGTGCATCCCGCATGAGCCGGAAACCGAGCAATTTAAAACTGAAAAAACGTTGCTGGCTATTCGTGCAGAAATAATTGAAAATTCTTCAACGCGCTTGTGATTTGCAACTTCACAATTAGCTTCTTCTTCTCTTGACTCACCGAATAAAAAACTTGTTTCTGATAATGACACATATGCTTTTAATTACCTGGTAACGTAATTTTTCCTACTTTGATAAAAATTAAACATCTTATTTTTTGACACTATTTTGTTTTGCATAAAAACTGTCTTTTTTGTTTTATCTTTGTACCAGTGGTATAGCTAAAACTGTAAGGTCGATTTGTCGTCAAAATAAATGACGCCTGAGAAGTGTCTGTTGAAAACTGACAGTTTTTTTTTCAAAAAAAGTAGTATAATTACTGTACTGCGATATTTTACTGATTTAAAGAGCACTCTTCTTGGGAACAGTGTGCAAAAGAAAAAAATTCTGGCATCAACAATTTTTCGACAAATTCTTAAATACAGGCAACAAAACTAGTAAGAATGGAAATTAGCTCTAATGTCACATTTCAGCGAATATGTCGACGACGGCTGCAAAGATCAATATAGGACAGCTTGAAGCAAAAAGATATGACTCTGGGAAAACGAAAGTTGCCAAAATATCTGTTTTTTAAAAATAAGCCAAGTAAATAAAGCACAATTGGGACTGGAGTTGGCATCTGCTACTGTATCATTTTTCTTCGCCGACGGTCTGCCTTTCTACATTCGTTAAGCATTAAAACTGACAATAATGTCCCACTGCTATTAATAACTTTCTTTTGTTTACCGACAAGATTCACACCAGAGGTCAAGCGGTGATTGTCAGTGATAAATATTTAAGTCTCTAGCGGAGCAAATACACGTTTGAAATTCGTCCTCAGCTAAAGTAAGCAGCAATAACCGGCAACTGCTCCCGTCGTAATTGTGTAAAAAAAAATGCTTTCAAAGCTGTTTTTTTAAAACTGCCATCTGCATGCGTTTTCATTTCAACACTATTTTTACAATTTGCTGTAGCAGAAAATGTTGGTATTAGCTGAAGTTTAACTCCTCGGTTAGTTCTTTCTTTTGTATACCCCTGCTGCGCTGCTGCTGGTCGCCTTTTTCTTTGCTCCTGCTTTCTTTCTCCCTGCTTCTCCTGTCTGCTTTACTGTTTCCTTCTTCAGCCTTGCCGCTGAAAAGGCAATAGACCAATCAACGTACTGGGGTCGTCACGGTATAAGAAGTCCAAGGCAGAAAACCAGAGCTGTTGCCGGTTGACAGGTTGACGGCTCCCACGAGTTGATTCTCTAGCTGTTTGACGTAAGCTGTACGGCGGTGACAACGGTGAGACATTATAAACAGTTGTGAGCTTCTGTGGCAACTTTTGTACTCATTCAGACACACTTACATCAGTCATTTCGTGCAAAAATCGCACACTTTTTCCCTTCAAATCTCAGACTTCCTTCAAATTTTACAGACTAGTGGAGTTTCTGCGAGTAAAAAAAGAGCAGAAAAAAACCTAGAAAAATGAATTTTCCGTTAAGTTACATCCCTTTAAAGTTGAAAAACTTGTTACGATGCCACTTGGCATGCCTACATTTGCACGCTTGTGACCTAGGATTTTTTTTTATTAGAATTAAATGGTTTTTGTTTATTAGATTTGCCATGTGTCATGCCTTTAAAAATTCATTTGTCATCTTAATTATGCCAAAAAATTACATAATTACAATGATTTCAAACAGACGTTAAAAAACGAAGTTTCAAGTTTTCCAAAAATGACATATTTTGCGGAAGACTTTTTGCTCTGCAATGTATCAAAATTTAGAGATGCTACTTTTTGGTATTGAAGAAAATGAACCGAAATGTAATTTGAACTAAAAAAAAAAGCTCACTAGTTTCATTGCAATCCAATGAATTTTGCAATGGCAAAATTGTCTGGAGCTGCTTTTAAAAACCGCAGACATCTGCTAGAAAAATCTGGTAAAGCTTAGACGGTGAAAGTCTGCTGCATAAATCAGATTTTGCTGTAAAATACTAACAAATTATTATTTTGCATGTAAAAACTAGCTTTCAATTTGGCGTTTTTTACTACTTGTATTTTATTTTGTTACAATTACATACTAGTATAAATTTTGGACATGAAGTCAAAAAGACGTATAAAAACCTACTGCATTGTTAAGTGTTCCCTAATTGCACTCTAAGGTCTATTGCACCTCAGTACTTTTTTACTCTCAGTTTAAGTGATCATCGTTTTACTTGTAGCCACTTCAAAGCTCTTATATAGGAAGGGTTTAGCGGTATTAGAAAGTTCTCTCAGTTCAGCTTTTGGTGCCTATTTCTTTCTGGGCTCCTCAGAAGTGTGCCTACCTTTCACTCGTTAACGTTTTGATTGCAAAAACAAGCAGAAACTAGATTTGTTTTTCCTTTTTAGAGTTGTTTGACATGGTTTTTCAGAAACAAAAAGTTTCAAGTAAACACTAATTGTGGAGCTATCCAGGTAAAGCAATTTGCGTCTTAATTCACTCTTTACGTAACGTATGTTCAAAACGCATCTGGAGGGCTGAAGATAAAATGAAAATTTTTATTGAAGTGATAAGAAAAGCATACTGTTGCACTAGTGCAACAGTTCCTGTCATGAGGTGAAGCGTAGGAGTTGCACTTGAGTCGAGTACAGCTAAAAATGGATTGGTCGGGCTGTACGAAGCTAGAGACGCCGGCCACTCAAGTGAAATACAATAAATCTCCAAAAAGAGTAGGTTCTGCAAAAACCGTACGAGCGCAACGCATAAGAATGAGATGCAGACGCCGTAAAACCTGCTTACAAGAAAGTGCAAGGCATAGTTGAAAGGATTTTTTTCTGTAAGGTCGACTGAGTAACGAGGTTGCAAAATTATTTTGTTGAACTGCCTTTATTACGATCAATTTTTCATTGTCGTTGCACTTCCTGCAGTCGAGGTTCACCCAGTTATCGCGGCAGCAAGATAGAAGACGACCCAATGTTATCTAATTTTTTAGGCCCTATTTTAAAGGAATGTTTATGAACAACGCTTGTACTTAACCTTCTTTGCTAATGTTAAACTAACACGCATTCTTAAAATGTAATATCTTTGTTTTGTATCGACCAACGCCGGATTTTTTAAATCGGCATTATGGCGCCGATTGCTTTTGTAGCTTTCCTTCGTTTTGCTTCTTCATATTTAGTGCAATAAATTGGTTAACTACTGCGCGCCGCTTGTAAACTTTAATTGGAGAACATTCTTTCCAATTTTACTCTCAAGAAAACCATTTTCCTACGTGGTGCGTCGACCTAACGTCAGATCCAATGTCACTTGTTCACAATTCTCATGCTTCTACCATCCTTGTTCAGTGTCATGTTATTCTCCCTCAAACTGTTCCTTGTCTTAAACAGGCAATTGAGCTTCTCAACTCTGCTGCAGACTCTCCCACTGCACAGACTTAGGACAGCATTCACTCCCAACACCTCTCTGACCTAGTTCAAGTTTTGACGCGCAAACTTGCTACGTTGACACGACTTCACAACCAGTGGCTATCAATATTTATTAATCTCTCTCCCAAAGAAGCTCCATACGAACGGGATCTATATTCCCAAACGACCGCTGATTCTAATGGTCTTTTTCAACTATTACCAAAATACAACATACAGTGCCACCATTAGAGCTTCACTTGTTTAATCTCCCAACAAACGTTGCAAATCGTTCGCCTCTGCTACCTCATGTTTTTTCTGTGCCTACTCCTGTCAGGAACCAAGAACATGATTTCTTTCCCATGCCTAAACTTTCGTTAATCAAGTTCAGTGGCGACCTTAAAGAATGGCCCTCCTTTTGAGAATGGTTCCAAGATGCCACTGATGCACAACAGAGGCCCGACTGGCAGAAAGTTACATATTTTAAAAGCTGCCTTACAGGTACTGCTTATCAAACCATATCCGCATTTGTACTTGCAAAGAACGAGTATCAACTTGTCGTTAAATCACTAAAAGAGAAATATGGTAGTACTTCTGTTATTATTTCTTTACTGTATGATGAGCTCAATGTCTGCTACATGTCAACGAGCAAATGCCACTTCAGAGAATTTAAAAAACTGTTGAGAGGAAATAACCAAAAATAAATCTTCAGCAATTGAAGCAACACAAAATTCAAAATTCTGCTTGGACCGTTGAAAACCTTGTTCAACAACTCTCTCTATTGCTCACTCAAAATGAAAACATTCACCGTGCCTTAAACTCCTCTGTCCAGCAGCAACCTAACAATATTCAACATGCAACCGCTGCGCACAACCGTTCCTCAGCATTTTCTACACCTGCATCGTCTGCACCTGGTGTATCGAGCGTCTTACAGCTCGTGAGACACAGAAAAGCGGCGCAAAACAGCCACAGCTGCAACCTAAAACACCCTGTATTTTCTGTAGCAAAATGCATTGGACAACACAATGCCACAAATATTCCAACCACAACAAAGGCGTACACTCGCCAAATTCAAAAACCTCTGTTTCAACTGTCTGAAAAAGAAACACAAACTTTGCGATTGACTTCGCAAACTCTACTGCTACTATTGTAAAGGTAACCACCATCCGTCACTCTGATTGACATCAAAACGTCCAAGTCTGACAACAGACTGCTACGCCTGCTGTCGTCGAGCAACCCGAAAATTCAGATGATGACAACCAACCGGTGAATCTCTTCACTTCAACAGTCAAAAAAGTTCTTTTCTCAAACCGCCACGTTGATCAAAGCGTGTCGTTAATACCGTGTCAAGGCATCATAGTTTTCAATTTGCAAAAACCGACTTTGCGTACAAAAGCTTTAGTCTTCTTCAATAGTGGTAGTCAGATTTCATTTATATCCGATAATCTGCAAAACTACATTCGTTTGTTACCTCAACGTACAGCTCCCATAACACCCAGCAGAATTGCTGGTGTAAAAAACAAACAGAGCTGTTCCGCCGTCTAGTCCGGTTTGGGTCTAAAGAATAAGAGTACAGATCTCATCAAGGTTTTTACAGTATCCCCAGTTACAGGATCCTTCTTACATGCAGAATTAACCAAAAAGGAGCTAGCGACCTTGCGAGACAATCAGTGTCAGGAGTTACCCGTTCTACTCTATAATACTGAACCATCTGTCCTCATCGGGGCTAATTTCTACTAGATAGCGGACTTGAAAGCGTGAAAGATCTCCCATCTTATCAACTTACGGGCAGGCCCCATGCTGAGCTGCAAAGGTAGGGTCAACGCGAAATATTAAAATTACAATTCTTTTGTTACGAATGCCGTTCTCGCTTGCCCGGCACTGTACAACATCGAACAGTTGTGAAAATTAGAAACATCCAAACCGGCATCCAACCGGAACAAGAAGTACTTGAGGATGACAGAAAAGCTGGAGATCACTTTCTTCAAGCCGTCAGTAAGCAACCAGATAGACGGTACTTTGTTGAGTAAGGTGGAAAGATAATCGTTCACACCTTTCAGAAAACTACGTTCTTTGTTTAAACTGTTTATGTTTATTACAATAAAAACTTGACGCTAACGGACAACATTCCCAATTGGGTCAGCGATATCTAAAGACAATCAAACAACGGCTTGAAGATGGCATTATTAAGCTTGTTCCTAGAGTTTCAACCGTTCCGAAAGTGTTATACCTCCCACATCAACCGGTTTTGCGAGAAGACCATAAAACGACGACATTACGAATCGTCTTTGATGCCAGTGTAAGTGTTCCTAAAGACCATATATTAAACGACTGTTTATTTAGAGGCCCTATATACTTGCCGAATTTAACAGCTATATTGCTTCTTTTCGTCAAGCAGAAATCATATTGCTAGCTGACATCAAAAAGGTAAAACGCTTAACAACACGAGAAATTTACTGGAAATTTATAACTCAAAAGACACCTTGAAAAAAAAGAAGTTTATAAACGCCTTATCAGATCGACAAAAATGGCGCTTATAAATGCAATTGGGAAACAACTCCTTGATAAAACTAACTTCATCACACTTCTCCACAAAGTCAAAGCCGTTATCAATGAACGACTCATTACATACGTAGACAGTGACACAATAACTGTCATCAATCCAATTGATTTCTTAAATCCGGAAGTGAGTCTCAGCTGCGGCTCAAGAGTCACAAATTCACGCAAAGAACAACCAGCTCCACCACATACCTCTAAAGAGTCTTAATCTAACAATGGAAGGAGTTCCAGCAATGCTTAAACTCTTTCTGGAGCTTGTAGTCACTTACAGTTCCTCAGGAAACGCACCCAAAGAATCCATCGTGGTCCACACGGAGAAGTAAGGCGGAGCCGTCAAATAGGTGAAGCTGTCTTACTTCACGAAGAACACAGACCAAAAGACCTGTGGAAACTAGCTTGCATTAAAGAGCTCGACCAGTTGTCAGACGGCAAAATCCAAATCGAGAAAGTAGTCTTGGCCAATCAGCAAACACTTACTCGGCCACTTAATCATCTCCTTCCACTTGAAGTAACGAATAATGGTAGACAAGATTCAGTGCAACATTCTCGCATCGATGCTCCCGACATGGAAGAATCAGATCAACTGGACAAGGAAAAAGATCCCGACATGGAAGAATCAGATCAATTGGACAAGGAAAAAAACTAAGCATGAAGCAAGCAGCCATTTACAACACAACACAAAGGTTTTAAGGGCACACATTTCTAAAATTTCTTTTACTTTCACTCACATTTTGTTTCGTACTAGCTAACGTGAAGGCCACAGTGTCGCATGTACAATTTTGTCCCTATATGCACAACGGGATTTACGTGAGAATACCACCGTTTCGCAACTGCAGTATTGATCTGGAATCAGACTGGAAAGTAAAAAGTGTCACGATATAACAGAAACAACTTGTTCACGTCTCGGCTATTTACTGCTTAAAAATTACCCGCACAGTATGCACTTGGGCATTCTTTCAGATCAGCCTATAAGTTACAAACAATACGACTGTAGTATCCAGTATTCTCCCCAAGACTGCAAACTACTGGAAACTTCACAATCGATTTGGAGAATGGCTCTGCAGCCGCAAAAGGGTGGCCGCGAATGGCGAACACAAAATCCTGTCGCGCACTCCTATTATTTCGTTGGTGTTGTGAATTATCACAACATATTCAGGTGGAAGATTAACGATAGCCGAGGATGTAATGTCTCAATGGTAGACACAACATACACAACATTACAATCGGTTTTACATCGGAAATATCGGCACAATGTTATCAGCTGGCCACTGTCACCAAAGTCCAGCGATATCTGATATGAAGACGAGCATAAAAGGATTCGTCGAGACGAGGACGGGGTTCTCTTTCTCGGCAATATTGGACTTCGGTTATCTGCGTTGGAAAAGACTTCACGTGCTAAAAGCTTCAGCTCCCGTTCTATCTATTTGTCTTTGTTTTTATGAATTATTTTCTTACCGGTATTCTGCTTCTTTTTATTATCTATTGGACCCTTTTGTGTGTTTTCTATTTACGTTGTGTTTCATTTTGTTTCAGATTTTTTGTCAATAAAATTGAGAATATCTATCGTTAGCCTAACGCAGCAAAGATCTCACATATAATATAAAGTGTCGTGAAATATTGACCAGTGAGACTGAAGAACTTAGGAAAAAATTTAAAAAGTCACGACATTGTTCCGAGACTATCAATTATTTAATAGAATACGGCGATATCGCGTTTGTTGACGACTCACATCTTATCACGGACTTTACTTCAGGACAGGATGCAATCCTAGAGTCCAAAAATGTCTGACACGTTATGAGACAGTGATATGGGATTGGAGTGCATACGAAAAACAATGTCAGTACGCACCACTAGGAACATACGCCGCCCACGTAAGTGAAAAAGAAGTCATAGTCGATCGTCTCCAAGCGGTTTATGTCGTCAATGTCCCACAGCCGCCGAAAATAGCTCGACACGTAATTTATCAGAGGCTATACTCATAGAAAATGACGTCGTCATAGCCTTCAAAAAGCAACTCACTCTCTGAGAAGAGACGAAAAGAGATCAACCTCCAAAGTTTCTTGCTGAAAAAATGAATTGAAGTAAAGAAAATGCAAATTTCCAATTTCTGTCGGACACGCTTATCGAAAGTGAAGCAAAAAGAAACTGCGAAATATGGAATGTGTTGAATTGCATAATTTGCCAGATTAGCCTTAAAGATGCTACTGCGGCTATGAGGATTCTGCTCAAAAGAAACAACATCGCAACACGTCATGTAGATGACCAGTTTCTGGTAACAGCATGTCAGCCGGTAAAACCGGAAAAGTTCTTATTAAATTATCAGGCCACTGAGAAGTGCTAGGAGCAGCTTTCAGTACAAGCGAAAGAACAAGTTGTATTCGTGGTTCTCAATATACATAACGTCAAGCTGTAGTCGCAAAAAATCAAATGGCTTTTGAAACCGCTTTATAACAAGGACGAAGGTACCCCAGAAATCGGAGCGAACAAGTTTGCAGCTGAACGCACATTTTTACAGGTAACAAACTTCCCGATGTGGAAGTCGAATAGAACAAACTAGCGATCAAACGCGTGCAGAAGAAAGAGCCAGACGAAATCACAGGACAGGGTTCAAACCCTCTTAAACAATGGGCATCCGGCTCAGAAGAGTTCCTAGAAGAAATTGGAGGCAAAGCAGAAGAAACTACGGAACTCACAAAGGATGCTCTACATTCACTGTCCATATTCTGGCGGTCGACATAGAGTTTTGTTGTATCTGCCTTCTTTGTCTTTGTAGCCCTGAGCATATAATGCAAATGCTGCAAAGCAAAACTGCTGTCGTGCAGAAAGAAAAGGAAAAGCAAAATCGTCGTCGTTTCACAGAACCCACTGCGCAAAATGATGTTGAGGGCACACTTCAGGTGCAGTATACTCCAATCCAAGTGTTATCAGAGCCGAGTCTGCAGTAATCTTGGTCGTCAGAGTATCGCGGCAGCGAGATAGAAGACGATCTAAAATTATCTCATTTCTTCAGCTCTATGTTAAAGAATTGTTTATAAACGACGTTTGTACTTAACCTTCTTCGCTAATGTCAAATTCACATACATCTTTAGAACGTAAAACCTCTGCTTTTTATCGATCAACGCCGGATTTTGTAAATCGGCGTGGCACCAATTGCTTTTTTAGCTTTCTTTCGTTTTGCTTCTTCATATTTAGTGCAATAAATTGGTTAACTACTGCGCGCCGCTTGTAAACTTTAATTGGAGAACATTCTTTCCAATTTTACTCTCAAGAAAACCATTTCCCTACATCAGTCGATATGGCTCACGAATAGAAACTGAGAAGTCTCCTTTTGGCGCTAAAACTCCGGCCTTTTTAGTTGAAGGTTTATATATGCTAACGAGGAATTATAAACCGCCTTTATTTTTTGCAGCAGTGGGAAGGCAGACAAGTTGGTGTAAAAAGTAACACAGTGGTAGTGCGACTGCCCAAGCTTGAAGTATGGCAGATTGACTCAGATAGAGTTTCATTACGCTAAAGAGCGCAAACTGTGTGGCACTTCAGAAATCACTTGAGCAAGTAATTAAAGGTGTAGAAGTGTGTAGCTTGAAACGCTAGGTAAAAGTTGGAAGCCGACTGAGAGTCATTCAGAGAGAACCATAAAGTGGTAGAAGAGACTCCGTTAATTTTGGTAAAAGTTGGTAAAATGCCTTGTCTTCGTATATCGTTTCCTATGCGAATTTCTGCATATGCAAATCTAAAAGCGCCTTCTCCGCCGCATGTATTA